TCTCTCTCTCTCTCTCTCTCTCTCTCTCTCTCTCTCTCTCCTGTCTTCTCTTTTTCTTTCTCGGTCCTGCAGTGTTAAATATTTATCGACGATTAACAATCCAGCTCCGAGATCGATAGCGAACTGGCGCGACCAGCAAGAGATCTCGCGTGCTGCGCATTCTCATCGCGCGCCACCGTAAATTTTGCCGCGCTGGGAAATTCGCACGGCAATCGCGTTGCCGGGCGCCCTGGACGCGATATATCGACCAAAAATGGGAGAGAAAAAAGATACCCCGAAGAAAGAAAAAGAGCGCGAAAATAAAAGTCAGGCGAATTTTGCGCGAGCGGGAAGGAAGGCCTGGATTGGACAAATGATCTCGAAGGAGATCCCGCCGCATGTGCGGGGCTGCATCGCGCGAGCGAGGAAGAGAGAGCGGAGTCGACGATAAATCATCCCGGAAATTGCGATCCGCGCGATAGGGGCGCAAAACGTTCGTGGACGGGGAAAAAAAAGCGGGTTCCTTTGTACGCCGGCCAAGCTAACATCTACCGAACCTCGACGTGCTTCTTGCGGGACTCGCGTTACACCGAGTGCTCCGACATACGTTGGCAAAAAGTCGCGTGTAGGAGCGACGTGCTGGCTCTGTTTGGCTGCTGCTACCACTGCTTGATTAACGAAAAAGCAGGCGACGCACAGCGAGACACGTCTAGCTTCGCGACAGAGGAGGAAGCACACGTTCGCGACACGCGAACCGCCGAACAGACCGAAGGTCGAGAGAAACACGCGCAAATATACGATTAGCTGATTACACTGAGGGCCGGTTGTTCCAACTTCTTGGTAAGTTAACCGATAGTTAAATCATACATCTGATCTTGTTTTACTCCCCTTCAACTTAAACAAAGACAGGCGTATGATTTAACTATCAGTTAATCAAACCAAGTTGGAACAACCGGCCCTGACAGAGAGAAAAATATCTAAGAGATAAAAAAATCCCGGTGGATACTAATAACGTATTTACTTGTACTAATATAGAATGTTTCTCAAGTAAGAAAATAGACGTTTTTTTTAATGTTAGCTCTTTACACAAGAGCGATTGTTTATCCTATTTAAACAAATGAATTTAGATTTGAGTAAATATGTCACTAGTACAGAAAAAACATTCTTGTTTTTGGAAATATCTTTATTTTTGACATGTGAATCTTGAAGTGAGATTAACGTTATATAAACGAGGTTAAGTTATCGATACGTTTTGTATGTCTCAAAACGAGAGGAAATTTATTTTTATTCAGAAATAATTTTCATTATTGGAAAGCACAAAATATTATAGACGGAGAATATAATATTTCTAAACATCGAAAAGAAATATCATTATCGCCAGAATAATCATATTGTACTTTTTATGAAACTGTTATGACATTCAAGTAAAATTATAATATCATTTCAGACTTTAAAATTTTTTTAACAAAATTATATATTGTTGCTTATATATGGCCTTATATGTGGCACAATATTTGAATAAGAAAGGTGCATTCGAAAATGTTAAAGGAAGAAATTAATTGATTAATAATAATTAGGATTCAGGGTCGATTTGACGTGGAAGATTTGACTCAACGCGTATGTTGCAAGTTCGGAAAAATGTTCATAGCCTAACAGTCTGACACTGTCAAACATTATTATCCTTCCATTCTAATTTATTTGCACTAATATCATAGTGCATACAATTTTTATAGACACTATTATTTTCTTAATTAAATGTATACTTCAAGAGCCTTTAATAATATATAGTTTAGTTGTGAAACAATGTGATTTTTATTGATTTAAGTTATATTAGTCTTAAGTGGATATTGATTCCTTTTCTATATACCCATCAAATAAATGCTTCTTACACTTTTCAAATATTTTCTCTCTCTCGCGAATAACACGATACGAATGATATACGTTATTACTGTCTTATCAGTATGATCTCTTTCATGTGTATACAAAGTGTTTTCCAGACTCTTTCCAGTAATTTTTGTGGGAACGTAGAACGGATTGAGGTGAATATAAAAGTCCTATAACATTTTACGATATTCGCAATAAACCTCTATTAAATAAGATTAGTAAATAATCACACACGATATGTGCTGCTATGTGCTTATACATTAAGTCAAATTGGACAAAAAAGCCCTTTATCATTTTGCAAATAACCACGTAGATTTTTAGTTGTTAATGAAAGAAGATTGTTACATGATTGATGCACAATAATGCAGATATCTTCCTTAATTAATATCTAAAAACCTATGTAGTCATTTGCAAAATGGTAGAGAACTTTTCTGTTTAGTTTAACCTAATGTATAAGTACACAAAGACGGCTACTATAGCATCATACCATATCGCGTATGATCATTCAATCTTCTTTAATTAATTAATATCTCCAGATTTATTGTAAATATCGCAAAGCGACTTTTATGCTTACCTCAATCCGTTCTATGTTCTCATGAAAATTGCGGAGGAGAATGTGGGACACCCTGTATGCACGCCATTTCTTACACTTGTCTCATCAGAGAGCACAGATTAGCACTCTTAGATGTAGAGTCGGATGCGACCGAGTGACTATTAGCATGAGGGTGTGTCGAAGGTCTTTGGTGATCCTGATCGCTCGTTTCTCGTCGATGTTGAATCTCCCCTAATTATCACACATCTCGACCTCTCTATTCTATCTTTCTCTTTCTCTATATACTACATGTATATATATATATATCTTTCCGTGAACCGCATGACCCTTCCTTCGTACCGAACCGCTTCTGCATTGCTAGTTCAATCGACTGTAGCTGCCGACCGATAATTACGTGGGCGGCTGTCTTCCTCCACAGGATTTAACGTACGGAGAGGGCGGCCACAACTGGCGGAGCATAGTTTTCTCGCTGCTGGTCATCGGCTTCGTTATCGCCGGCATCGTCACGGCCATTTATCTCCTCGGGTGAGTTCATCGTGACATTTGCGTCTAGCCAGAGACGCGCGCACGCTGTCAAGTTGCAGAGTGCCACACAATTAGGCCTCGCTCAACGGCAACGCGAAAAACGCCGATGAATTATAAACACCCCGGACGGAATTGCAGGTACGTCGACGAGCTGCTGTACTGGAGCGGCAGGCGTCTTACGTTGGACGAGTGCCTTCGTGATGACCTGACACCGCACAGGTTACCACCGACCTGGATCTCCCACGAAAAGTTCGTCTACCAAGCCGACGACGGTTCCCTCACTCTCCTGGACACCAGCAACAATATCGTGTCCCTCTTAGTCTCTAATCATACGCTTGTACGTATACACGCATGACCTACACACACACATACACATGCGCGGGTACGCGGGCTCTTTGTGCTCAAACTGCGTAACAATAAACTTGCTGATGACATCCGCGGCGTTGTCCACGCTCGACGAATTCAGCAGAGACGCCGGTTACCACGCGTCGCGCTACAACGATAAAATCCCACCCCCTCCACTCGTAAATTCAGTCCGTGAGTTTTATGAAAAACTACCGCGTCCGTTAATTGAAAAATTCTTTGTTGCGCGGTGGCGGTTTATGAAACGAGTGCTGGGTGGTGAGGGAGGCGGTCGAATGAATGGACGGTAAAATATCCGACCTCGAATTTACACGGGTCACGCGTAGAACAGGCGAATTATCGCAGGACAGATGATAAAAGTAAGAAATTAATTAGACGCGCGGAAACACCTGTGTGTTTCGGCTGTTAGGAGGGCCTGGGCGAGCTCGCAGCTTGATTAACGCGCGACGGACTAATTACTGCGTCTACGGTTGAATATCTACAAAATGGTTGCGCGCAATCGGCGCGCGCGCGCGATTAATTACGCTGGAAGTCCGCTTCTAAATTACGAAACGATCGAAACTGCGCGAGTCACATGACGTAGGAGATAAGGTAGTCGGCCGTGCAATTTCGCCACGGCCACATCGCGGTGTAAATTCGCGGACTAATTTTGATTCCCCGACGCGCCGATCATGAGTGGGGCCGGGCGTTATCAAGCGGGATGTTTACGACGATTAATCGGATCTCTGATCGGATCACTCAATCGATTGAAAAATTTCCTTACACCAATCGGATCTAATGCTTCTATCTATGAATTTATCGGATTGGATAAAGATATTATGGAAGAACACACATGTAGATTTACTTGCATATGAGTATTATAAAATAGAAATGGGAAAATAAATACGTACTATAATACGTACTATAATACGTACTATAATACGTACTATAAATACGTACTATAATAATTCGAATAATTAACACATTATTCATTTTCCTTCTAATTTATATTAAAAATTCATGTATTTAAAATTTATTTTTTCCAATCGATTAAATGATTCGATCACAGATTCGATTGATTGTAGTAAACATCTAGGACATTACTCCGCGAGCGCATTCACAGAAAAGCAGAAGAGCAGAAGCTAATTAGAACACTTGCTGATGGTCAGATGGTAGTCGACTAGTTTCTGCTTTTCTACCAGCGCGAATCCTGATTCACACTTCTGCTTTCCTTTCTGTTTTCTGCCGAGATGCACTGAAAGAAATTATAAAAAAAACTAAGGGATATTTCCAATCAAAATATCGATGAATTTTTATATCCAATCAGAAAACATCCGATAAAATATCGATTCATAATTTTTTGATCGATTTATCTGATGAAATACCATTATGACCGAAAGTATCCGATAAAATTTAATTGAATATCTTGCTCGAATATAAAAATTGATCGGAATTTAATCGGAAATATTTGGTGGTTAATTTTTTATCGGATTTTTATCGAATTTCTCTCAATATGTAAATTATTTCTAAGTCCTGGCCTACTATAGGTGATTTAAACATTAAAACTTAACAATTGACTAATCACAGTCAAATTTGAAGAAAACAATCGACTCACATTAATCAGTTTTTAAGACTTAAAGGGGTGCTGAAGCTAAAAACTTTACCGATAGAACACTTTTTCTGCAAAATTTACGTCGTATTGGTTACACAGAATTACAAATGCTTTTATGCAATAAAAGTATGTGCAAAAATAAACAAGAGCATTGCTCGATATGTGTCGAAAACGAACAAAAAATTTTTAATGTAAAATCTCAAGCTGTCAACGTAATATTTGCCTAATCCAAAAGTTCCGCAGCTTGTACATACCGAAATTGCGGATGCTCCAAGCAGAAAAATTTTGAAGAACATTGCTCTACCTTCGCATCCGCATTTGGAAGCTTAAGAATATCGAAAAAGTTTGCAAAAAGATTTCTGCACATATATGATTAGGTTTTCCGTTGAGTATGGTAAAACAACACACATTCATGTAAGTTCTATATATACAAGAAATACGAAAAGAATAGCGTGATTATGTTAGTGACGATCGTTTCTGCATTATAGACATTATTCAAATTCGTCATCGACTCCAACATCCCATTAAGACTTAAATCATCTATTGTAGGGCCTAAGAATCGCGCGCGAACGAGACGAATAGACTAGATCGTAATGGATTTTGATACTAAGCGGCCCGTGTTACGTTAAACGAAGTGTTCTCATTCGAATTCGAACTCCGTGCCAAATAAAGTCGCGGGGCGGCGCATCGCGAATGGAAATCGCGGTGGGTTAACGAGCTGCCGAATTTTTGGTAGGCGAGCGCCGATCCATCGATCCGACAAATCCGTTTACCGGCTGATAATCTCCGACGAATTCCAGACCGAATCTCGAGGCCGAGCGAGGACGAGATCGATTATTTCCATCAGATTTCGGCGGATCCCTAAATCACGAGCCCACGCTTGGAATATCCGTATTAGAGATGCGCCGAAGGTATCTTAGCTCCCACGCGCCGACACCTAATCTTCCGGCGCCGAGCTATTGTCGCGCTCATCCACGATTAATTGGGGGCGTGTACCGAACTCCCCGTGCTCGCCAGATAATTAGACGGTAATTGTCGACGCGCAAATATATTCCCGCGGCGTGCAGACCGCCTGACTGCGAACGTACGGAGTGTCTGACGATAACGGGTGTAAAATTGACGTGTAGATTGGGTCAGACTCTGAACTAAAAATTCCTCTACCACTTCGCAAACGACCACGTAAAATCTTGAATTATAATTCGGATATGATGGTCACACGAAAACGATCGCCATAGACTGTAATTTCTCTAATAATTTCTAAAATAATGCGCTTTTGTACACTTTTAACCATGTATCGCGTAGTACCTCCAAATTTGAGGTGGTAATTTTTAAATGGAAACGACATTTCGAGTTATTTGCTGATAGGAGACATTTTTCCTAATATATTATAACACGAGATACGAGATGCACGAGATAATAATAAATATAACGATTCGATTAGAGATACCGTCCTTATAAACTCACTGGTATTTTTGTTTAGAAGATATAAAACTTTTCATATCTCTGATACATATATAGGTACGTCCTTACGGAAACAAACTACTGAGAACAATATGGGAAAACCATTAAAACACTATTGAAAAATATTGGAATACTACCGTATATTTATTACAACACTATTGGAAAACTATAGAAAACCTATTCGTTAATTTTATAAATAGTTTTAGTATAAGTTTTCAATAGCTAAACGTATTTTCGTTAACAAATAATACTAGTATATAATACTAGTATTTTCGATGAAAATACTACTATTCTCAGTAGTTTTCTTATAATATTTTTCCGTGAGGGCGAGGTACCCAACGCGCGCGCGTTACAAATGTTCTGCCAACACGATAGCGGAAAATCGACATTTGTTTTACGACCGTTTTTTAAGCAAATTACAGTGTCGGTGCAGCAACAGTGGCCATATTGGTTAGAAGCGATGTTGGTTTTGTTCACGCTCCATATGAATTTAACAAATACTAATATCCGAGATGTAAAGTGCGGTGCGTGCTGGGAATCACAAAGTAGCAGATGTATAAAGGATACATTCGCAAATTAGATGGTACTGCTGCTGCTGCTGCTGCTGCAGCTACAGAATTATTTATTTTATGTTACAGTGTAATCATCCACCAACAAAATCTCTCTGAGCGAGATAAAGGATAAAAATGATGCAGATATATGTATTCATATATTTTTTCTTTAGTGAAAATGTTAAAAACCATCTTACTTTGCAATATTTTCGATCAAATAGATATAGTTGATTTTGCATTAACACAATCATATATATATAAGTGTATCTCCAATCATCTAGTACATTTATACCGCGTAAGTTCTGACAATGAAGATCTCCTAATTTGGCGCTACTATCTTCTCTTCTATTTTTGATAGTATTTATATCCCTTAATTACGTAAAGTTTTTATTTCAATATGTACCGCCAATTTTTGGTGATACATGCTTAAGAGTGTAGTTATCCTAAAAAAATAATCGATATTTTAGTTTATGTGCGTGAGTTCAGGTGTTAAATGTACTACTTAGCAATTATTAGAGAAAGTACATCAAGTACATTATGGCCATCTTTTCCAACTTACAAAGCCAGAAAGAGAATTTGGTTTACAATTATATCCTTTGACCACATATATCCATTCATATTTCTTATTTCTACATACCTACTAGTTATTAATATCCATATAATTACATTGCCTTCCTCTAATTGACTTTAGAATATCATTCTCGTTAACCTAAATATACTTGTAATGTCTTTTCGCAATCTTCTTAATTTTCACCTAACCTTTAGACTACCTACACATTCTCTCTCTATTTATCATGTCTAATTACACTTTCCTATTTCACACTTAACGCAGGTACTCTATATCGTCTTCATATATAATAATCTGTCCTTCTCTTCAGCTGTATACATCTATCCTTTTATCTTTCATCTTCCTATATAAATACTCTTCACTGCTTTTCTTATTTTCTCTTCATTTTCTTTTCTCTCAATTTCCTTCCATATACCTTGTTAATTTCATTACTCCACTTTATACTACCTACTAACTGATTCCTTTGCCGTTTCTTCACTTATATATCTCCTTCATATATATCGCTAAGAAGGAATTTTCCATATCCTATAACCTTTCTCTTATTCTTTGCACTTCACTCTTCTTATTTATACATGATCTGTATTATCTTTCTTCTGTATACTTTTACTTTACTTTTTTATCTTATTCAACGCTCAAATCTTTTCTTTTCATCTCATTTTTCGTTTCTTGTATTCTCTTCTTCCTTCAGCCCTTGTATACTTCTGTTACCAACTATTATACATTTCCTCTATCGTTAGTTTCTCCTGCATTACGATACTAATTTAAGCTTTCCTGTATCATACACAATATCCTAACTATCTGTTCTTTATGACGCTATAATCTCCATTACCTATGCACTTTTTCCGTTTACAATCCTGCTTTCCTACCTAACGCCTTATTTAGCTTTTACTTACACTATCTATGCACTCATTCTTACATAATTTCTCCTAACTGATCCTCCTGACTTAATTCAATACATTAAAATCTAAACTCGCGTATCACGTTAATCAAGCATCCATTCATTTTCACGTCATCTAACCAAGTCCCCGTTCTCACTAATTTTGAAAACTTAAGATCGCCATTAAATTTCGACTCTTTGGTAGTCAATGACTCGGGAAATACTCATATGCCAAAAAGAATCGAGAAATAAAATGTATAGCTCAAAGGGTTAAAGAAGATTGACGAATGAGCAAGAGATGAACTAATAACAACATCTGCTGTTCTGTGCTTGTATTCTATGTATTAGGTCAAACTGAACAAGAAAATCCTCTACCATTTTGCGAATAACTATGTAGAACTTTGAATTATTAATTAAAGATGATCCGCCAATGAAGCGCGTATGATCGTCTTCGATTTATCTTTAGTTAGTAATTCGAGAATCTACGAAGTTACTTGCAAATTGGTAAAGGACTTTTGCGTTCAGTTCAACCTGATCTACATAAGCACAACGGGCGTCGCCGTCACAGCTGATTCATATAACCGCATACAACACTTGTTCATTCGCCAATCTTCTTTAATGAGTGATTCAAAATTTTACGTGGTTGTTTGCAGAATGGTAATGGAACTTTCTGTTCAGTTTGACCTAATCTACACGTACACGCGAGAGTTTCATACATGTCATTATCAGACATCCTGTATACATTCCCACGGCTCGACGTATTCATCATAAAAGCACGGCAATATACGCGAAGAAGTGAGCCACCGAATAAATATATGCACACCGCGCCAGGATGTATTAATTTTAATGTCCCGGGCGCAAGTTTCCCCTGGAGGGGTAAGTTTGATCAGGAGTACACGAAGACGTGTATCTTCGCGTGAAATATCGCTCTTTCAAAGCCGCACGGCTCCTCTCTGTTTCTTGAGCTCGCCGCGCGGCACGTTCCCCGTGGATTCCTAATTGAAACGAATCGTCGACGCTTTGGACGACGTTTCCATGCATATTTACATGAAGAATATTTCGACAGGCAATAGAAAATTAACGACGGAGGAGGAAAAGAAGCTCGATCTCGAAACCTCAGTCTTTTGCCTATCGGCGGAATCGGCCCGATACGTCGTAAAACAAAGATTGTGCTGCATATAAAATGGAATCCGAGACATTTCAAGGTTTATCCGCGGCTAGAGGTGAGCGCGAGGTGAATCGGGGTTATCATACATACCGCAGTATTGCACTACATTGCGCTTCGTGCTCGGCGCTGTATCATCTTTGTCCCCCGAGGCGCTTCGATAACGTCGGACAACAACGGATAATCACTCGGAGCGGAAAGAAGCGTCGATTAAACGTCCGTGTTTGTACGCGCAATAATAATTGCTCTCGAGAATTGTATTTACACGCTCGGTGTTATTCACACTCGTCTCCATCGGTGTGCAACGAAGCGGAAGAGGGTCGCGCGGACATTCATTATTTGCAAAATGGAGCGTCGCAGAAACGTAACCCCCTGGGCTCCCGAGGCCGGTAAGAAGAAGGAAAGCAGCTTATAAGGAGGCAAAAGGAATGACTGATTTCGACAACGCTAGCACGATAAGTGTGCGTGCGCAAGAGTGAGGAAGAAAGAGAGAGGAAGAGGGGGAAAAGGAAAGAGAGAGAAGTGGTTCAATCGGTCTGGACGAGTTCCAAATCCGCGTCCTTTTTCGCTCCCGTGCCACCAGACGGTGTATAGACGAGCGTATACAGCGCATTGATCCGATCTGGCGTCCACCAGGATACGCCGCGCCCGCGTCTCGCCGCGTCTCTTTCGGACACGAGTATCGACTGCCGGCCGCGTAATGTCTGCACGCGACGGATATCTCACGGGTAGATATCCGCCAGAGAATCCGCGATCGCCGTTAGCTGCCGAGCGACGGATTCTAATTCTCGCGCACTGGCGAGAAAACGCAACGACGGAGCGCGCTAATGATCATGGATCTCCATTTAACCGTGCTGTAATTCAGGCGCCAATGGCGACGCTATTAAAAGTTTCACGATGCGTCCCTTCTTATCGCAAAAGTGGGCTCGAGGAAAAGGGCCGGGGGAATAAAAGGAACGCGATAAGATGCCAGGCACTCTTTCGCAGCGACGCGATCGGCTTTCAAATTAGATCGTAACACCGGGACGAGTATTCCGCTCCGATGCCGTGAGAGTTAACGTAATTTTTATCGAACCTTCTTTTCCAGAGACAACTGAACGTTCAGGGCTTCGAGTGCAGCTCCGACCTGCGTTATGTACTGTTCAGGCACAATGTCAAGCCGGTAAGTAGCTTAAAACACGGGAGGCTCACGGGGAAAGTTTCTCGCGCAGCAACTGCATTCTAACTTTCTGATCTGTGGCTTATCGATGGTGTTCCGACATGTAATACGGCGGCGCGCAATTTAGTTGCAGTTAGGAGTCGATTATCGCCATCGAAAACGCATTGACCTTCTCCGTGATGTGCTCTCCCTCTTTCTCTCTCTTTCTCTCTTTCTCATCCGGCGATTCTATATTTTATATGATACAGACACGCAATTTTTGCAGGTCTTTCGAAACACTTTCACCGCTCATTACACCGTCTATGATGTCACGAATGAGTAAGTAACCACGACGTGACAGATATTCGCACGAATTTCTTATTTTCTCGTTGAATTTACCCTGAAAAGTTATATTCATATGACACAGGGAAGAGACATGATACAATTTAAAACAGAGAAAATAGAGATGAAAAGAGAATGTTTCGGTGTAATTTATATTATATATATATATATATATATATATATATATATATATATATATATATATAGTCATCTTTATGATTACTCTAACGATCACGTTTTTATGCTTACAAATTCGAAAGTCATCACACACCCCTTCGCTTGTTGGCGTCGCGACGTATGCAACAGACGCGACTGCAATACGCTACGTGGTTGGGCAACACGTCCACCATCCTGATGATCTCCGAGAACGACATTTATCTCAGGATGACGCCCGCCGCGACGGAGGACATCCGTTTGACTGATACAGGCGTGCCCGGGGTGATCTACAACGGCGTTCCCGACTGGCTGTACCAGGAGGAAGTGCTACCGAGACCACAAGCGACGTGGCCAAGCCCGGACGGCACACATATCCTCTACGCCACGTTCAACGACACCCAAGTGAGCGCATTGCAGTTTCCGTGGTTCGGCACGCAGCTGGGTCAGGACGGTGCCAGCTTGAGTCCCTTGGGCGCATCCAGGAGGGGCTCGTTCCCGCCCTCTAGGTCGATCAGATACCCGACGCCGGGTTCGCCGAATCCGGAGGTTGAGCTCTGGCTCATGGAACTTGGCAATCTCAGCGCGGCGAACTACAACGGCACCGGGAACGTCACGTGGCCGAACAAAATGAAGCTGAAGCCGCCGCCATCCTTGGACGAACTGTACGTCAGATTGTCGAAGACTTTTCGATTAATCTAAATAATTAACTGAATTTTCTCTCGATAAATAAAGATTTGATACCGAACGGTTTAAAAAAAAAAAACAAACAAACAAAAAGGAAAGAGATAAAAGTGTTGGTTATCCTCGCTCGTCCTCGCGTAGCATCGTAGTGATCTCGTGAAATTCTTCGCGAATATTTTCAGAGATTACTATCTGATATCGGCCGGCTGGGTCGGCGAGGACGCCTCGCAGATCGCGGTCGTCTGGATGACGAGGATGCAAAATCTGTCGGTGGTATCAGCTTGTCGCGGTCCCACGTGGGAGTGCGAGGAGACTCACTCGGAAAGGGCGCCTGAAGGACTGTGGCTGGACGCCCAACCGCATCCTCTCTTCGCTCCGGATGGTGACAGCTTCCTGCTGCTGGCCACGGTGCAGGAAGGTGACAAGGAGCATTTCACGCATATAAAACACGTCACGCTCACCCAGCAGAGAATAGCGGTGCTCTCTCATGGCCGCTACGAGGTGAGCGACTTTTGGGACGGAAACACCGCGAAATGTATGAATGAGAATACGAATTATCATAGAGACGATTATATACGTGGAGTCGCTTCATTTTGGCTCAGAGACACCGTGGTATTCTGTTTAGACGTGGTCGTTATAAGACAATCATCCCACCCAAGCAGAAAAAGCGACCTCTTCCTAGCCAGTAACTGGCCAGGAATTTTGATTATTCGCTAATTGTTGGCCAATTTCAGCGACGCTTGCTTCACCAGTAATTAGAGGATAAAATTAATCAGTTTCTAACCAATTTTTTATCAGTTTCCCACCAATAACTGGCTAAGAAACATTGTGTATAACCAATATTTTTCGATTTTTTACTAGACAGAAAGATTGCTCAGTTTTTAATTACTACTTTTTATTGTTTCTGTCCATCAACTGGCCAGTATTTTTCTGTATAATTTCTGAATAGTTATTGTCTAATAAATACTAGCTAATAAAAACTGGTCACAGTTTCTGTCTAGCGATCAGTTGTTTCCTGGAAAATTTTCTACTTGGACATGAATTGTTTCAATTTATTTAAAAAATATTTATATAACAAAAGATGTGAATTCTCATAATCGAATCGAATTTCCCATAAACAACAGGTAAGCGAGATCTTAGCGTGGGACACTAAGGCGCATCTCGTATATTATCTGGGCACCAGAGAGAGGAGACCTGGCCAGAGACACCTGTACGTAGTGCGCGATCCCACCGCGGACGATCCTCGTCATTTCGAGCCGTTGTGCGTCACGTGTGACCTCGGCGAAGTTCTTTGGAGTAGTAGGCAAGTCACCCAACCCCTAGAGATATGACGTACTAGAGAGATACGGCGCGCGAGATCGATTCTCGGGATTAAACGAATATTCGTGGCGAAAAATCGCAGGTTCTACTACACCAATTGCACGCACTTCGGCGCATCCGTGAGCCCGCCGGTCAGCGACAGCACGCAGGGTCACTACGTGCTGCACTGCGAGGGTCCCGGCCTACCTCTCGCCGCTGTGCACATGATGTCGTCGCATAAGATGCTGCGCGTACTGTACGACACGAGGATCCAACGCGCAGACAAGCTTTCGGAACTGGCACTGCCTACCAGACGGAATTTCGAGGTGCGTACTGTCATCATCGAAACTCGCCTCGTTCTATCTTGTATCGATAATAATGCAATCCGGAATGGCCGACAGGTGCCGTTACCCCAAGGCTGGCGGGCGCAGGTGCAGCTGCTGCTGCCTCCCTCGTGGCGGGAGGAGCTCAGGGACGCTGCGTTTCCCGTGCTCGTCGAGGTGAACGGTCGTCCGGGCAGCGAGGCGGTCACGGACAAGTTTCGGATAGACTGGGGGACTTATATGTCCAGCCACAACGACGTGGTCTACGTGAGACTGGACGTACGAGGCGCCCGGGGTCAGGGAAAGAAGGATCTCTTCAGGAGGATAGGCGGCGTCGAGGTGCAGGATCAGCTTACAGTGTTGAGGCATCTTCTCAAGACGCTCAAGTATCTCGATATTACCAGAGTCGGTGTCTGGGGATGGGGTTACGGCGGATACGTGACCGCTATGGTCCTCGGCAGCCAGGAGAACGTTTTCAAGTGTGGTGTCGCGGTCAATCCGATTGCCGATTGGATGTACTACAGTACGTCAACTTTTTACGCTTTAATTCGCGCTTAAAGATATCATATTTCTGTAAGATTTTTTATATGATCAGTCGTTTCATACAGTCGATTAAGAATCGGTTTGCGCACTCTTTATCGAATGAAGTTGCTTGTGATCAGAACGCTTGAAGTGGTCAGAATTGAAAGTCACTGCTGACACATACGCAGTAATCGGTTATAAACATACAGGCTGACATTTATTGACACACCCGTTGTGTGCAGATAGAACTCATCAAACTGAAACACAAAATTCTTCTACCATTTCGCGAGTAATCACGTAAAATTTTATGTTACTGGTTAAAGGAGATTGATGCATCATTATGCGTAACAATACACCAATCTTCTTTGATAACTAAAAATCTACGTGGTTATTTGCAAAATGACTAGAAGACTTTTTTATTCAATTTAACTTAATATATAAACACATACGGCGACAGACGTCGCTATTACAACTCATATTTAATTAATAACTCAAAATTATGTTTGTCATGCTTGTTTGCGATAAAAGAATTTTATGTTCAATTTAACGAGGTCTTCCTTTCAAGTTTCGCAAATGTCACTTCAGCTCCTGTCATAACCAATACACGTGCATACACGTCAGCAATGGTCTTCAATTCTGACAATTTAAAGCGTTACAATATCATTCGGCAAAAAATGTGCAAACTAATTTGCAACCAACTATATGTGTCTATTGACGTCTCATAATTTGCCAAAAATCTCCTTGCCTTGTAGATTCTGCATTTACGGAACGAGTTCTCGGCGCCCCTGCGGATAACTACAAGGGTTACGTGGAGGCTGATCTCACGCAACGGGCGAGATTGGTGCCCAGTCACAGCCTTTACCTTCTTCACGGTCTAGCCGACCTCACAGCGCCTTATACGCACGGCGTTGCCTTCGCCAAGGCTCTGTCCGAAGCGGGAGTCATCTTTAGATACCAGGTGAGAGACACGATGAAGGACGACGGTGTAGGTCGTGTATTTCGCGAACGCTCTCGTACCTAACGGTTTACCCTTTGGAAACAGAGTTACGCGGACGAAGATCACGCCCTGGCGGGTGTGCTCGAACACGCTTATCGTTCCATGGAGGACTTCCTCGCCGAGTGCCTCGCCTTGGATGCCTCCTAGTGCCTCAAGCCGAAAAATCCTTTGTTGTCTCTAGTGCGCCTATTTCCGATACATCCAGAACGGACGTTAATACGGGAAGTCGTCCTCGAGGTCACGGCAATTATTCTCGCGAGCGGAACGATATCCCGCAGGCCCATTTAGGAGCCTGAATTCGACGAAGTGATTCAGGCCGCGGCAGAGCGAGGAAATTTGCGAAGAATATCGCAAGAGGACGACGATCGCCTTCAGCCCGGCGATATTTTCGCGTGTATACGTTGTCGAACGACGTCGCTCCGCGCCTCTCACGCGGATTCGACACGTCGATAGTCCCGTAATCCGCCGAAAAACGTGAGAATCGTCATCGAGCGCGGGAGCGACGCTGATAAGTTCGACGATGATATGGCTCGCATACGAAGGTACGGCGAAGGTACCCCCAGAGGGAGAGGAAGAGAGAAAAAGAGAGAAATAGAGGGGGAGAGAGAGAGAGAGAGAGAGAGAGAGAGAGAGAGAGAGAGAGAGAAAGACGCGCGCGTATTTGTCGTGAAATCGATCTCGGGCGAATCTCGAGAAGCGAAGGAGTAAACGAGGCGCGTGTTCGAAAGCGCAGACCGAATTACTACATGCGGAGCTTACCGACGGCTTGCAAATTCAGCGTCGTACGTTCAGCGCCACCGAAGCGGCAGTGTGTCGCCCAGGAATCGACGTGGTGCGTTTGCAAGCGCGTCATTAACGTTTTGCTGTGTTCCAAGTCCCAAGGGCGTCCACATAGAAAGGGCCTGAGATTTCGTAGAGCGATTAAAATGACGGTGGAGAGATTATCACAAATTGAAATACACTTCGACGTACAGAGCTTATCGGGAGTCTGCAAACTCGCGCTTCCCCCCTCGCTTTCAGTTTTTCACCTCTTTCGATAAACGGAACCCGTCGGGTCGGCTCGAATCCCAAAGTAATCCCGATTACCGAACGATCGGTCCCCCCCCCCC